AGAAGAGCATAAAACCCTCTTGCTGCCTATGGAGAAGGTATCCTGCCTGGTAAAATGACACATGAGCCTGATTGCAGGTGTTCACACTCGACCAGGTGGTGTTGCTGAGCCTTCAGCAGCTAGAGCTGGGTCCTCAGTCCTCAGCTTTGATAGAAGATCCCTCAGCCTCTTAAGTTCTTCCTCTCCAGGGCTCCCTGAGGAATGTGGTTTTTCCCACGATAGGCAATCCCTCCACCTCCTATCCCTTGTTCCTGGTCCCCATCCTCACAACAGCCTCCATAGAGGCTGGTGTCGCAGACCCACTTACTCTGGGCACAGGCGTGGCTGCTGATCTTGCGGAAGCCAGTGGGGCAGGCACAGGTGTAGTTCTGGCCACTGGGCAGACACAGGTGCGTGCAGCCTCCGTTGTTGTCCCCACAGCGGTTCTTCCCTGCTCAAAGAGCCCAGGGCAAGAGGATTAGCAAAGGTTTGCAAAAGTGACCCCAAGACTAAGGAATAGGGGTTTAAGGTAGGGTGATAGTTCCCTGAAGGGAGAAACTATGTCTTATTATTTTTGACATCTGCCCCAGCTGCTAGCACAGTGACTACCCGGCACAGAGAAGATGGCCTGTAAATGTCTGCCTGAATTAGATGGGAACGGTGAAGCCTAATGAGTCTTTTCGTGAATCTTGTTGTACTGCCCTGAATGTCCAGCAGAGGGAGGAGTTAGCCCATGTCAGTGCCCCGCTGGATTTCCCCATCAGAAGAAATGGCAACTCCTAAGGGGAAGGAAAGTTCTCAAAGGCACCAGAGGCCACCTCAACCATGAGACTACTTTGGCTCACCCGGTGGGCAGTTTTTTACCTGCAGGTTGGCGCTGCGGGTGCAAGGTGTGGATGTCCATAGGGAAGTGGAGTTTGTTGCGAATGATTTCCTGGTTCTTCCCCGTAAATTTGTTAGCGCTATTGATGCTCTTGGTGTGCCAGTCTGTCCAGTACAGGCTGTCTTCAAACACTGTGATGGCGAAGGGATGCGGAAGGCCTGGGGAAAGTCCAGGAAGACCTCAGTCTCGACATGGTCTGCCATGGTCTCTGGGCCCAGGCCTGGCAACTACACAAAGCCTCTGCCAAGGCTCCTGGGGGGCAGGGACAGGGCCAGGAGGACAAGAGATGGAGAGTGAAGGAAGGGGCTCACCCTGGCTAATGACAGCCTTACGGTGACTCCCATCCAGATTGGCCCTCTCAATGACATGGTGCTTAGCATCCACCCAGTACATACGGCGCCCAGCATAGTCGATGGTGAGGCCATTGGGCCAGAAGAGATGGGTATCAGCAATGATGCGGCGTCCAGAGCCATCCATGCTGGAGGCCTCAATACGGGGGGTGTTGCCCCAGTCTGTCCAGTAAATGGTACTAGGAAGAGAGAAAAGTAAATTGGGAAGTGGGCAGCAGAAAACAGGTAGGTAACCAGGAGAATAATCAGGTAGGGGGCTTTTATCCATTTAACCCAGGGGACTCCAATGTTTGGTCCACAGAATGCATTTTTTTAAGACAGGGTCTCATTCTGTCACCCACGCTGGAGGGCAGGTGCGATCACAGCTCACTGCAGCCTCAATCTCCTGGGCTCAGAAGGCCTCACCTCAGCCTTCTGAGCAGCTAGTACCACTACACCTAACCAATTAAAAAAAAAATTTTTTTTTTGTAGTAGTAGAGATGAGGTCTTGCTATGTTACCCAGGCTGGTCTCAAATTCCTGAGCTCAAGCGATCCTCCTGCTTTGGCCTTCCAAAGTGCGGGGGTTACAGGCATGAGTTGCCATGCCTGGCCTCAGAATGCTTTTTAAGTGTTTGAGTTTAAATGTCTTCAGACAGGGCATTTATTCATTTAATAATTTTTTTTTTCGTACTGGCAACAGGCAGGACATACTATCTTAGGCACTGGAAATCTAGCAGTGAACAAAACAGACAAAGCCTCATAAATGACAATCCAATGTAATATTAGGACAGGCACTTTCTTCTTTGTCACAGTCTCTTCCACTGCCTTTTGTATTTTATTTTATTTTATTTTTGAGACAGAGTCTCGCTCTGTTGCCCAGGCTGGAATGCAGTGGCACGATTTCAGCTCACTGAAACCTCCACCTCCTGGGCTCAAGTGATTCTCCTGCCTCAGACTCCTGAGTAGCTGGGATTACAGGCACCTACCACCATGCCCAACTAATTTTTGTATTTTTAGTAGAGATGGGGTTTCACCATGTTGGCCAGGCTAGTCTCAAACTTCTGACCTCAAGTGATCCACCTGCCTTGGCCTCCCAAAGTGCTGGGGTTACAAGCTTGAGTCACCACGCCTGGCCCCTTTTGTATTTTATACACACACACACACACACACACACACACACACAGTTTCTAAAACAGTTGACACATACTGCAGGACCTTATAAGATAGTCCCTCCATTGACTGAATAGAATTTTTAGAAGCCAGACGTAAGAACTTCATTTTGGGAGTTTTTCTTTAATTCAGATTTCTGAATTTTAAATTAAATTTCTTTTTGAGATAGGGTCTCACTTTGTCATCCACGAGTGCAGTGTCATGATCATGGGTCACTGTAGTCTCGAACTCTGGGACTCAGGTGATCCTCCTGCCTCAGCCTCCTATGTAGTTGGGACTACAGGCATGCACCAGTAAGTCCAGCTAATTTTTGTACTTTTTATAGAGATGGGGTTTTGCCATGTTGCCCAAGCTGGTCTTGAACTCCTGGGCTCAAGCAATCTGCCCACCTCAGCATCCCAAAGTGCTGAGATTACAGGCGTTGAGCCACTGAACCTGGCCAGATTTCTCAATTTTATTTATTTAACTTTTTTTTGAGACAGGGTCTTACTCTGTCACCCAGGCTGGAATGCAGTGTTGCAATCACGGCTCCCTGCAACCTCGACCTCCCAGTCTCAAGCCATCCTTGCACCTCAACCTCCCAAGTAGCTGGGACTACAGCCATGCACCCACTAAGCCAGGCTAATTTAAAAAAATTTTTTTGTAGAGATGAGGCTACACTATGTCGCCCAGGCTGGTCTTGAACTCCTGGACTCAAGTGATCCTCCTACCTGGGTCTCCAAAAGTACTGGAATTACAGGTGTGAGCCACCATGCCCGGCCCCTCTATTAATTTTTAGGCAATAATAATTAATTACAATTCTTATGAATTACTAATAACTTAATTTGTATTAATTAGGTCAACCTTATGAGCTAATAATAAAAATACTAAACACCTACAACTTATCTAATGTGTATTATATGCAATTTAAAATGCATCACCTCATTTAATCTTCACACAACTATGACGGAAGTATTTTTTTTAATCGCCAATTTAGAAATGAGTAAACAAGGCAGACAGAGATTAACTGGCCCAAGGCCACACAGCCAGTTACTACAGAGCCAGGATCCAGACTCAAGTGTGTGGGGGACAGGGCCCATGTTGTTAACATAACATCACACCTTTTTTTTTTTTTTTTTTGAGACAGAGTCTCGCTCTGTCGCCCAGGCTGGAGTGCAGTGGCGCAATCTCAGCTCACTGTAACCTGCGCCTCCTGGGTTCAAACGACTCTCCTGCCTCAGCCTCCTGAGTAGCTGTGATTACAAGCACCCGCCACCATGCCTGGCTAATTTTTGTATTTTGCAGAGACGGGGTTTCACCATGTTGGCCAGGCTAGTCTCGAACTCCTGACCTCAGGTGATCTGCCCGCCTCGGCCTCCCAAAGTGCTGGGATTACAGGCATGAGCCACCACGCCCAGCTACACCACACTTTGAAGATGTACCCCCAGAGCATCTAGTCCGGTAGCCTGGGAGTTGTCCCGAGAAGTTGCAAGAGAGATTCAGCAGCCTGAGATACAACTTACCCCTCCATGGGATGCAAGGCAATGGCGCGGGGCTTCTCCAGGTTCTGCCACAGCAGCACCTTCCGGTGGGCCCCGTCCAGATTGGCCACCTCAATCCTTGAGGTGCCTGAGTCGGTCCAGTAGAGTTTGTCATGGACCCAATCCACAGCCAGGCCCCCTGGTGAGAAGCAGCACAAAAAATGTCAAGGAGTCAACCCAGGCTCCCCTTTCCCATAGTAACAAGAGCAAACTCTTACAGGAAGCAATTTCTTGGGCCAGGCACTATTGTCATCATTTTAGATACATGAATTCATTTAAGCATCACAACTCTGTGAGCTAGATACTGTAATTTCCATGAGGATGAGGAAAGTGAGACACAGAAAAGTCAAGTAACTGTCAAGGGCATGCACTTCCTCCTCACAGCCAACCATACCTCACTTCCTGAATTCCGTCTCCCTGACGCATTCCCAGGGTCCCCCACTGCTCTGACCCTGGGGTTTGTAAATTGTCATCTAGGGTTTTGCAGAGGCATTTCAGAAGTTCTCTAAGCATTTGAGTCCAATGTGCTTGATACCAAATTAGAATTTGACCACTTCACCTGTTTGTAAAATAGTCTGAGATTGCCAAGTGAGCTGTTTCTGTGGTTTGTTTGTTTGTTTGTTTTGAGATGGAGTCTCACTCCCATTGCGCAGGCTGGAGTGCAGTGGCACGATCTTGGCTCACTGCAACCTCCACCTCCTGGATTCAAGCGTTTCTCCTTCCTTAGCCTGCCAAGTAGCTGGAATTACAGGTGTGTGCCACCACGCCTGGCTAACTTTTGTATTTTTAATAGAGACGGGGTTTCGCCATGTTGGCCAGGCTGGTCTCAAACTCCTGACCTCAGGTTATCCACCTGCTTCAGCCTCCCAAAGTGCTGGGATTACAGGCGTGAGCCACCACTCCTGGCCTGTTTTTTTTTTTTCCTTTGAGACGGAGTTTTGCTCTTGTTGCCTAGGCTGGAGTGCAATGGCACGATCTTGGCTCACCACAACCTCTGCTTCCGGAGTTTAAGCAATTCTCCTGCCTCAGCCTCCTGAGTAGCTGGGATTACAGGCATGCGCCACCATGCCCAGCTAACTTTTGTATTTTTAGTAGAGATGCGGTTTCTCCATGTCAGTCAGGCTGGTCTTGAACTCCCAACCTCAGATGATCTGCCCACCTCGGCCTCCCAAAGTGCTGGGATTACAGGCGTGAGCCACCGCACCTGGCCTTTTTTTTTTAAAATCTATAAAACATTTTGATATACTTATCCAGGTCAATCTGAATATTCTTAATACTAAGCAATTGAAACAAAACTCAGAAATAAACTAGATGCAAAGGCTGATAGAGAACTCTGTCATCCATCAATCTGATTCCCCTCCCATGATTACAACCACCAACGTGCTCTGATTATTCTCACTGACTGAGTTCAATCATAAGCAAATGTTACATGTGAACCTATACAATTGATATATATTAACAAATGTTTTCTATATTAGAGCTCCAGCTGAGATTTCCCTGGAAGAAAAAGATGTGCTGCTGCCTAAGGTTTGCAAACCACTGGCCTGCTCCTCCCACCGTTGCTGCGCATGTGGCATGGCTCTGCCCCTCTCCATGGGGGCTCATTCCCTACCTGGGCTCTCCAGCCCAGTAGACACAACCTCCTCCACGTTGCTGCCGTTGAGGTTGGCACGGAGGATCCGGTCCAGGGTGACGTCTGACCAGAAGACAAGCTCGCGGCGGTGGTGGAAATCAAGGGCAATGGCGTTCTCCAGGTTGTTAAGCAGCAGCGTGTACTCAGAGCGGTGCGGCAGCACCTGCCGGATGTCGATGCGATTGGCGAACAGCAGCACAGGCTCTGGCCCTGGGACACAGTATAAACATGGGGTCCCCACTGGGTTTCAGAGCCGCCCCTGGTACCCATCAGCAGGTCTTCAGCTGACTGATAGAGCCATGTGCCCACAAGGGCATGCCCCAGGCTGTCAGCATCAGTACCAGAAGAGTAGCAACCCTTAAACTATACTCCTCCACCCCTCCCCACCCCACTCCACCACGGCAGCTTTTCTTGGGGCTCAGAATGCAACTGTTGCTCCGTTTTACTGCGATGGAAATCTCTCTACCTCTCTGCAAATCCCTGAGCACCAGAGCACTTGGCCTTCCTCCATGCTCAGCCCTCTGCCCACCCAGCCAAGTGCCAACAGCCCTTACCCAGAGCCTTGCAGCTGCGCCGGTCGGGCCGTAGTTCATAGCCTGTTTCGCACCAGCACTGGAAAGCCCCTTCGCTGTTGGTGCAACCCTGGCTGCAATACCCCTCGTCGGCACACTCATTCACATCTGGGAACACCAGGCACGTCAAGAGATCTCCCTTCTGTCGTCCTCCCACCCCCGCTCCCAGGCTGCCGAGCTGCTTTTCTGCCCACATCCCCATCTATTTTCCAGGCCTAGTGGGAAGGTTGTCTAAGAAATAGTTAAGGGCGGCTGGGCATGGTGGCACACACTTATCATCCCAGCTACTTGGGAGGCTGAGGCAGGAGAATTGCTTGAACCCAGGAGGCGGAGGCAGCTGTGAGCCGAGATTGCACCACTGAACTCCAGCCTGGGTGACAGAGCAAGACTCTATCTCAAAAAAAAAAAAAAAAAAAAGAAAGAAATGGTTAAGGGCTTTAAGGTCATGCAGACCTGGGCTGGAATCCCAACTCTGCTGCTCACCAGCTGTGTGGCCTTTGGTAAGCTACTTATCATCTCTGTGCTTCAGTTTCCCCATCTGTGAAATGGGAAGGATGATCCCCACCTTCTAGGGTTATTGTGAGGATGAAATGAGGTCACAGCCTTCACATGCCTGACCCATAGGAAACACAGTTGCCTGTCTGCTGCCCCTGCTCAGAACCCCGACTCTGCTGCAAACCAGGCCTCAGCTCACCTTGGCACGTGTGCCCATCCTCTGTGAGCCGGTAGCCTGTGTGGCAGGTACACTGCACTGCCCCTCGCACCATCTGGCACTTCTGGGCACAGCCACCGTTGTTAACATTGCAGTTCTCCTCACCCGTCCGGGGCCCTGTGCCAGCCAAGCCAGAGTTGGGAGTTGAGCCCAGAATCCTCCCCCAGACAGCCAGCTTGGCATTCCACCTGGACCGGGAACAACAGCTCCCAAAGCTGCAAGAGTCCTGAGGGAGGATTCCCTTTGAACCCTATGGGTGGGGTTCGGCCACAAACCATGGGCCAGGTCTGCCCACTGGGGACACTCACGGCAATTCTGCTGTGGGCTTTCGTCGCTGTTGTCACCACAGTCGTTGACCCCATTGCACAGCTTCCTCTGCCCAATGCAGCGCCCATTCCAACACAGGAACTGGTCCGAGGCACACTGGGGGCTTCCTAGGGAGAGGGAGGGTCAGGTCACAGCAAGGCAGGGCTTGGGTCAACAAAGAGATGGGAGCCTGTCATTTTCTAGGGTAAGCTGGAGACAGATGAGACTCAAGGTGGGAGGGTGAGGGTCCTGGGCAGGAAGCAGCTCAGACAGGGCTGGCTGAATGTCTGCATTCGCTTTCTCCCCAGGACACCACAGTGGGATGGTGAGGAATATGGAACAGAATGAAAAACTACATCCACATGCTCAGTACTGGGTATGGCCAGGGGAGCACCCATGGGGGCTGCCGGATGGAAGGTAGTCCTTCCTCAGTAGACCAGAGCTAAAGGCACTGGCTATGTGTGAGTTAGAATAGGAGTGGCAATTGAAACTCACAGCTCTGATACCGTGCTCCAGGCCATAAGGCCGCAGTTTAATGGTGCACCTGGATTTTACACTGGTAAAACCTCAACCCGACTGGAAAGACAGCAATAACACCCTCTTTTCCACCCTTCCACCCCAACTATAGGCTAAGGGTTCTGGGGCACCCCGGGAGACACCACCTGTATTCTCACAGTTCTCTTCATCGCTATTGTCCGCACAGTCGTCCTCCCCATCACAGCGCCAGGACAGGCGGACGCAGCGGCCTGAGCGACAGCGAAACTGTTCTGCTGTACACATGGAGGTGGCTGGGCAAAGCAAAGGCCTAATGAAAGGTGGGCCCCATTTCAGCCTGAAATTCTCCCTGCCACCCAAAGCTACAGCTTATGTCAGTACCCATGCCACTCTTGACACCAGGATCACAGCTGGTCTATATGGCGTCTTTGTGTGAATCAGAAAAAGGTATCCTTTCCTCAAGACACTTTACTGTCATCTGCTGGAAAACTGCCATGATGAGTATATAAATCTATTATGTGACTGGCTTCCCTTTGAACATATTGCCTCTGCACAGTGCACGACCTACACAACTGTACATGGTGGTCTTACCCAGTGTCTTCAAGATTTATGGGTAATGGCCTCTTTGTCTTTTTTTTTTTTTTTTTTGAGATGTCATCTCACTCTGTCACCTAAGCTGGAGTGCAGGGATGCTGTCTTGGCTCACTGCAACCCCTGCCTCCTGGCTTCAGGCGATTCTCCTGCCTCAGCCTCCCGAGTAGCTGGGATTACAGGTATCCGCCACCACACCCGGCTAAGTTTTGTATTTTTAGTAGAGATGGGGTTTAACCATGTTGCCCAGGTTGGTCTTGAACTCCTGACCTCAAGTGATCCACCCGCCTCGGCCTCCCAAAGTGCTGGGATTATAGGCGTGAGCCACCGTGCCTAGCCGGTAGGGGCCTCTTTGGCTCCACAAGCCTTCTCCTTGGTTCAAGCCCAGCCTAATTCCATTCCCCCACTCACTGCAGTTGCGCTCATCAGACTGGTCATCACAGTCCGCGTCACCATCGCAGCGCCAGCCTGCATTGATGCACAGGCCGCTGTCACACATGAACTCCCCAGAGCGGCAGGGCTGGTGGGAGGCTAGGGAAACATGAGACTTCTGTCTCTAGCCAGTCTGTGCACAGTGTCCCATGGCAGACTAGAAGGCCACAGTCCCAGAATCCCAGTTCCTCCAGCTCTTCCCAAGAGGGACCAGAAAATCCAGAAACTCCTCTCTGAACTCCTGCCCCAGCTGGCACCTGTGCCTTGCCACCCGAGGAGTTCTTCCCAGCCTGGCCTCCCCGCCTCCCAGCTGGCCGGAGCACTCACAGCAGTCAGACTCGTCCGACCAGTCTCCGCAGTCATCGTCGCCATCGCAGTGGTAGATATCGAGGATACAGCGGCCATAGGCACACTGGAACTCCTCCAGGTTGCAGGGGGGTGCTGGCACTGCTGAGGCTGGAAGGAAGGCAGGGGTGGGGAGGGGCACACACTCAGGCCTGGATGAAGGAGACGGGCCCTGATTCCTCAAGCAGGCAGGATGTTCAGGCAGGAGAGCTTCTTCAAGCGAGATGCAACCAGGTTTCATCTGGGACAGCCCTTATAGATGCCCATATTCAGGTGGACCAAAGGGAGCCTTCCTTTCCCACCTGGGGAACTTGGTCCCTCCCTAGCTCAGCCCAGGAGGAGCTGCTGCTGAGGCACCCATGCTCCTTGCCCTTGGTATATGCACCCCTCAGCCTCACCCTTAGCCCATGGGCAGAACCATGCGCCCTCATCCAACCCAACAGCCTGAGGTCTGGGGCCACTCACGACAGCTCTCCTCATCGGAGCCATCTTTGCAGTCAGTGTCACCGTCGCAGTACCAGTGCTCAGCAATGCAGCTTCCGTCACTGCAGCGGAACTCCTTGTCGGAGCACTTGCGCATGTCTGGGGGATGCGATGGGACAGCAGTTCTGAGAGGGCCCCACAGGCAACCCTCTCACCCTCCTCTCTGACTCCCCAACCTCACTGGCTTTGGCGGGTCTGACCCAGGCCCTGAAAGGCACCCAGAGTCAGTGCAGACACTCCGTGAAGAACGGAGGCCCTGGAGAGACTGGGCCTCAGCCTCCGGGTCCACAGTTTCTCCGGGGTCTGAGCGGCTCTGCTCCCTCTGCCTTCCTCTAGCTGCTCCAGATATCTGGGCAGTTCAAGGTTTGGCAGTGCTGGGGCCATTGCTGCTATCTCTTCCTATGGCCAGGCCACCCACTGGCCACCGTGTCTGCCTCCCCCCATTGGGGCCACCCACCACACTGCTCATCGCTGTTGTCACCACAGTCATTGTCACCATCGCAGTGCCACAGACTCCGGATGCAGTAGCCGTTCTGGCAGGGAAACTCGTCCTCCTCACACTCCCGGGGGGCTGTGGACACAGGACAGTCAGGCTGCTGCAGGCAGTGGGGGTCTGGTGCCTGGAAGCCTGACTTAAAGCCCTCCGGAGCAGTCAAGTAGCTCCAGTGCTGCCCCGAGGGCTCCGAAGGAGGAGGCTGCCTCTCAGCAGCTTATCTGACTGCGAGAGGAAGTAAAAGGACAGGACCAAGTGCTGAAAACACAAGGGTCCATGTGGACCTGGGGCATCGCTTTCTGATTGAAAATCCTTTCCCAATAGAACTCAATGGAGTCTGTCCAGCCCCTGCCAACACTCACGACAGTCCTGCTCATCCGAGTCATCCTCACAGTCGTTGTCCCCGTCACACACCCAGGAGCGGCGGATGCACTTGCCATTGTCACAGTGAAAGTCGAGAGGGGAACAGGTAGGTAGCACTGAATCCCAGGAAAAGGAAGGAAAAGTCGATCAACCTGGTATACTTAGTCAGGCTCAACTAGGCCAGATAGCCTTTTACTCCAAATTCCCTTGTCTTTTTTGTTTTCCTTTTCTGAGACCGAGTCTCACTCTGTTGCCCAGGATGGAGTACAGTGGCGCAATCTCGGCTCACTGCAACCTCTGCCTCCTGGTTCAGGCGATTCTGACTCAGCTTCCTGAGTAGCTGGGATTACAGGCATGCTTCACCACACCCGGGGGAGGTTTTTTTTTGTTTTTTTGTTTTTTTGTTTTTTTTTTTTTGTTGTTGTTTTTGTTGCATTTTTTGCATTTTAGTAGAGACAGGGTTTCATCATGTTGGCCAGGCTGGTCTCGAACCCCTGACCTCAGGTGATCTTCCTGCCTCAGCCTCCTGAGTAGCTGGGATTACAGGCATGTTTTACCACACCCAGGGAGTTTTTTTTTGTTTTGTTTTGTTGTTTGCATTTTTAGTAGAGACAGGGTTTCGTCATGTTGGCCAGGCTGGTCTCGATCCCCTGACCTCAGGTGATCTTCCTGCCTCAGCCTCCCGAGTAGCTGGGATTACAGGCATGCTTTTCCATACCCGGGGAGTTTTTTTTTTTTTTTTTTTTTTTTTTTTTT